TTAATGCATCTTCTTAAATATATATATGCTGTATATTATGTATTATATATTATATATATTTATTTATTTATACTCAAATATATATACACATAAATATACACAACTATATGCTCATGAATAAAATCTAAATATAAATTCGTATACATATATATTATATATGTGTATAATATATATAAACGGCAGACAAAGAGAAAAGAAACAAAAGGAGACAGAAGGAGACAAAAACAAGACAAAAGGAAGAGACAAAAAAAGAGTTAAAGACAGACAAAAAAGAGATCAACCAGAGACAAAAAGGAGACAAAAAGGAGACAAAAAGGAGACAGAGAAGCGACAAAAAGGAGACAAAAGGAGACAAAAAACGAGAGAAAAAAGATATTAAACATAGACAAAAAAAAATATCAAAAAGGAGACAGAAGGAGACAAGAAGGAGACAAAAAGGAGACAGAAAGAGACACAAGAAGAGATACCTGTTTTGCTTCTTCCTCCTTCTAGAAAAACTTCTAAGACCCCGTATCTTCGGGCGATGCAATTAACAAAGAGAGACAGCAGCTGTTTCCTTACTGCAGCAAGCAGCTGCTGCAGCTGCTGCTGCTGCTGCTGCTTGTCTCCGCCTCTAGAGACAAAAAATGCACCTCCTCTTCTTAAGAGACGATTAACAAAGCGAATAGACCCAAAGGCTTCGTCCGCAGCAATGTAAGGCAGAGGGATGCCGTAAGTAAAACAAACGTAAGACATTAAGAGAAAGTCCTAAAGAAATAAACAAATAAACAAATAAATAAATAAATAAATAAATAAATAAAGTAATTAATTAATTAATTAATAATAAGTATTTAATAATAAAGACGCAAAGGAATGCCGTAAGTAAAACAAACGTAAGACATTAAGAGAAAGTCCTAAAGAAATAAACAAATAAATAAATATATATATATAATTAATATTTAATAGTATATGAATAAACTAAATTATGCAAGTAAAACAAACGTAAGACATCAATAAAAACCCTAAAACAAACAAATTAAGAGGATTGTTAATTGAGCTTTAGAATAACATAAGGGTGTGCAGATCTTCAGGGTTTAGGGTTTAGGGTTTAGGGTTTAGAAGCTACCATATAGCTTCTGTGTGTAGGGAGGAGGAAGACAGGGCCTGCAGCTGTCTGTACAGCGCGTTTAAGCTTTTGCATATTTGTTTCTTCTACTACAACCCTATCAAAGAGAGAAGAAAACGAGTGATGAAACAAAGCAGCAAGAGGAAATACAACATGCGGCTGTATACACCCGGCCATTCGGGTGTACATACACCGCACTTCAGCTGCAGCTTCTGCTAGCGCTTCTTCTTCAGATACTGCAAACAACAAACAAAATATTAATAACACACAACCCTATTCACACCCGTGCATGCATGCATGCATGCATGCATGCAGCCACTTATATGCATGCATGCATGCAAGTAAGAGATGCATGCATGCACGCATATATATGCATCTCTTTAAATGCATGCAGCCATATGTAAACATATGTTTGCAGGCATACATATATATATATATGCATTTACTTGTAAAAAAATATTCATAGATATATATGAATAAATTTGCATGCATATATACATATATGTGCATATATATATATATATATATATTATATTATATATATTATATATACTATATACACTATAAAATATAGACTAGATACGCTATATAATATATATTATGTATATTATATATTATATGAGTAGCTCAGAGGTTTTGACAGGAACTATGGTGCAGGATTCTACATGAAGATGAAGAAAAACATTTCTATAAACACAACTCAATATATATTATATATATATATATTATATATATATTTGCATGCATGCATGTATATGTTGATGTGTTGTTACGTTTTACATGTAGAAGATTTATTTCTTCTTGTTTGCATTTTATATTTGGCGAGAGCAGCAATAAGAGGCTGTAGGTCTTTATGCTGCAGCACAAATGTCTCAACTGCTGCAGCACTAGGAGGTGCCTTAAGAGGAGGTGCAGCAGAGACGAAAATAAAAGAAGACGGAAGAGGAACAGACAGCACAGGAGGCGTTAAAGGGGTTTCAAGCAAATGTCGCTGCAGCGCATCCATATATAATAAAGGTGCAGGAGGAGGGAGACAAGCTGCACATACACCCCAGCAAGCATAACGCAGCAGCAAACATATATATATATATATTTATATATATATATATATATCTATTTGTTTATTTATTCAGATGTAGATATATATATATATATATTTATACAGATATAGATATATGCATGCATACGCATATATATATATATATACATATAAATATAGATGTATTTTATATATTCACCTGTACAAGCATAGCTATGTATATATATGCATGTATATATATACATATATATACATATATATATTATATAAATATACTTATACATAGATATGCATACATACATATTCACATATATAAACGTGTATATATACATATACATAGATATACATATATAATATATATATATATAGCTGCACATAAATAATGCATATATATACAAACATATATATATATATATATATAGAGGAAATGAAGAGTATATTGAAGTGCATATACACCTGAAGGTTCGTGAAGAAGAAAGCGAGCAATCCCATAGAAAAAGAGATGGATATATTCTCGCCAGTTGATATCTTTAACATTAAGAAAGAAAGTTTGTTGTTCTTCAGGCGAGAGCATTGCATGCATCTTCGGTAGGCCTTCTTGTTTAAATATCCATTCTTGATAAGAGAAATGATGAAGGGCTTCTGCTGCTTTCTCTGCTTTTATTAAACCTGATTGCAGCAATGATATGCCTTTTGCTGCTGATGATGAAGGAGACAATAAAACAGCAGACACTGCAGATAATGCTGCAGCCGGAAGCTTCTGCTTCAAGTAAAACCGTCTGCACACAACAAATAATTAAATAAATAAATAAATAACTAGTTAATTATTTATTTATTAAGACGTTATGTGCGCAGCGCTGTAGAAGCTGCTGCAGCAGCAGACTCATCAGCAGCAGCACAAGCAGCAACAGAAAACCCATCAGCAGCAGCAGCAGACTCATCAGCAGCAACACAAGCAGCAGCAGCAGCCTCCCCATCAACAGCAGCGTCCTCCGCAGCAGCAGCGTCCAGAAGCAGCAGCAGCAGACCCATCAGCAGCAGCAGCATCCTCCGCAGCAGCAGCAGCATCCTCCGCAGCAGCAGCAGCAGCAGCAGCAGCAGCAGGAATCTGTTTACCTTTTGAATTGTTTGAAGTCCATATCAAAGAAAGGAGTCGTAAGATGTCTCCGAATGCGAGAGAAGAGGGGACAGAGAGAATTATATTCTCTGCCGTGCACAAGCAAGTCTCTCCAGTATGTAGGGTTTAAGTCGCTGCTGCAGCTGTGAATTACATACACCCCAGGCCTCCCTCCTGTTGCTGCTGCTGCTGCTGCTGTTGCTGCTGCTGCGGCTGCTGCTGCTGCTTCCGGGGATGGGTTTGACGTCTTCACAGCTGTGCTGCAACCCGCAGGAGCAACAGCAGGTGCAGCAGAACAAGGGCCTACCGAAGCAACTACTGCGGCAGAAGGATCTGCTGCTGCTGCTCCTGCTCCTGCTGCTGCTGCTGCTGCTGCTGGAGACACGTGCTGAAGAGGAGGTAATTCGACTGGAAGCAGCATGCAGCTAGGCTTTACATGTTTTGCTGCTGCGCGAGTTGCTGCTACTGCAGGTCCTTTTGCTGCTGCTGCTGCTGTTACTGCTGCTGTTGCAGTTCCTGCTGCAGCAGCTTGCTGCGCCAGCACTACATGCGAAGCAGCAACAGTAGCAGCAGCAACAATTAAAGAATCTGCTACAACATCTACAGGGACCTGATCTCCTATCAAATCAGGATTAGCGGGTAAACATTGAAGGATCCCCAACGCGCCTACACACAAACCCTAAACCCTAAACCCTAAACCCTAAACCCTAGACCGTGAGGCCAAGGGCGAGCACGGAACAGCAGCAGCAACAAAGAGCAACAGAAGACCGCTTCAACTGCCACAGCAGCAACTAGCCCATGAGCAGCAGCAGCAGCATCAAGAGCAGCAGCAGCAGCAGCAGCAGCAGCAGCAGCAGCAGCAATTGATCGAGGATAGCAGCATCACCAATACAAGAAGCAGCAGCAACAGCAGCAGCAGCAGCAGCAGAAGCACTACCAGCATAAGTGCCCCCACCCCGATCACCCCCACAACCAGCAGCAGCAACAGCAGCAGCAGCAACAGCAGCAGCAGCAGCAGCAGCAGGAAGTGCTTACAGAGCAGCAGCATGCCTCCTGTTGCATTAACATTATCAACCCAGCCTCTTTTCGGGTGTCTGTACGCGCAGCCAATGATGGAGGGCCTCAAAATACAAATCGGGAAGTGAAAAGGAGACACTTCCTCACCGAAAAAGCTCTCCTGCTGCTGCTGCTGCTGCTGCTGCTGCTGCTGCTGCTGCTGCTGCTGCTGCTGCTGGTCTGCTGCTGCATTAGCTATCTGCCACTCTCTTGCAATTAATAATTCACATAAACGCTTCGTAAAGGCGTAAGTGTTCGGAAAACGTCCTAACAGCTGCCGCTCTAAACCCTCAACATCCTCTGCCTCCCCCTGACACGCAAACCCTAAACCCTAAACCCTAAACCCTAAACCCTAACACATGAACCCTAAACCATGAACATTTAACCCTAAACCCTCGAAATCCTCTACAATGTCTAAACCCTGTAAAGCCTTTGTGAAAACTAGGAACTGTCTAAACCCTAAACCGTAAACCCTAAACCCTAACCCTGAAAACCCTAAACCCTAAACCGTAAACCCTATCCCTTAAAAGACAACCCCGATAGCATGCAAAACCCTAATCCATGTAAACTGTCATACATGTAGTAAACCCAAAACCCTAAACCCTAAACCCTAAACCCTAAACCCTAAACCCTAAACCCTAAACCCTAACTCAAACCCTAAACCCTAAACCCTAAACCCTAAACCCTAAACCCTAAACCCTAAACCCTAAACCCTAATAGCGTATACCTTATCGACAATATCGATGAACCTTCTGACAGCCAGATGAAGGTCTTGAGGGTTCCAATGCAGGGGGATTATCTTTTCTTCTACTGTGCCTGTCTTATCGCTGTTAACATAACAAGTAGAAGTATGAATAAATACTTGTAGGTTAGCACACCTTCTCGCGAAGTTAAGAGTATGAAGAGTGCCTAAGACATTACTATTATAATTTTCTTTTAACGGAGAATTGAAGTGTACAGATGCTGCTATATGTAATATTACTGATACTTCTTGCTGCAGTGCTGCTGCTGCTGCTGCAGATAAACCTAATGTTGGAGACAGCAAATCACCCTGAACTGCAGCAACACGAGAAGAGACAAAAGAAGAAAACCCTGAGCCCTTCTCTTTTCTTAAACCTTCAAATACATCGCTCTTTAAAATAGTATCATGCAAGCGAGCAGCTGCAGATACACCCCGTGAAGGCCGCAGCAGCAAATATATCTTCCTGCAGCTATCTTGCTGCAGCAGACGGCACAGCACTACCTTCCCAACGAACCCGCTGCCCCCAGTCAGCAGCACAGTTTGACCCCTATAAAAATCTGATACAAGACCCATCTTCCTGCTGCTGCTGCTGCTGCTGCTGCTGCGGCGGCGGCGGCAGCAGCAGCGGCTAGGAATCGATAGAAAACAACAACGAGAGGTGTGGATACACCTGGGACACGAGTTATGCTGCTGCTTCAAGTCGTGTTGCTGTTGCTGCTGCTGCTGCTGCAGGGTGTTGCCCTATGAACGAGAAGACTGCCGTCCCTTGCTGCTGCTGTTGTTGTTGCTGCTGCTGCTGCTGCTGCTCTCACCGCCCTTGCTGTCCCTGCAGCAGCAACCCCTCTATACTAATAAAGATAAAGGAGCAGCAGAAATGAATATATAAGCATAACAACGCGTCAATCCCCCAGCAGATCCAAGGTCACCTCTGCTGCTGCTGCTGCTGCTGCTGCTGCACTATAAGCAGCAGCATCAGCAGCAGCAGCAGCAGCAAGGGGCAGGGATAACAGCTGCAGAAATATTACTATTGTAATGAGGTCTCCTCAAACAAACAATAACAAATTAAGGAGAATAGGCTGCTAGATGGTATCTCCGCAGCAGCAGCAGCAGAACAGCAGCAGCAGAACAGCAGCAGCAGCAGCAGCAGCAGCAGCTCCCGTGCGTCTGCAGCAGCTCCCGCAGTAAGGCGTCTCGTACGCGTCTTCGTCTCGCTTATTCTTTCTTTCTTTTAATTATTACTCTTTTAATTAACTTTAAATATTTATTTAGCTATTGTTTTTCGTTTATTTGTCTTAATAATCCACACCCCAGCTGCTGTTGCTGCTGCTGTTGTTGCTGCTGCTGTTGCTGCAGGTGGCGACAGCTGTGCTGCTCCGTTGTGTCTACTGCTGCAGCAGAAGCTGTTTGTCTTTATTTTTACTATTTAAAATAATAAAATCTGAATTTTATTAATAAAAGACCGCTACAAATACCTTTACCGAGACATAACACAAGCTGCAGGGGGGCGTGTTGCTGCTGCTGCTGCTGCTGCTGCAGCAACAGCAAGAGCAGCAGCAGCAGCAGCAGCTAAAGTATTTTCTCTTTACACTTCTCTACTGACCCCAGGACCTGCTACTCTTGAGGGGGTTCCTATGCACTCTTCGCTAAACATATGCATATATATATATATGCATATCTATATACACATACATATATACATATATATTTTATGTATATATTATTATAGATATTATATATGTGTGCTTCTAAAAAGGTATATATATATATATATATATATACAGAAATGCATGCAAATATAAATGCATGCGTGCATAAACAAATGCAACAAAGCCTCTTTAGAAGTAATACCATTAAGAAAGAGAAGAAGTTCATTTTTGTTGTTTTGTTTGTCTCTTTCTTTTGCCGGAGTAGAGAGATATGTCTCTTCTTTATAAAGAAATAATAATAATAAATAATAATAATCATGTTAACAATAATAATAATAACAATAGCAATAAATACTAATAAATAGTAATAATAATAATAATAAATAATAATAATAATAAATAATAATAATAATAATAATAATAATAATAAATAATAATAATAATAAATAGTAATAATAAATAATAATAATAATAATAATAATAATAATAATAATAATAATAATAATAAGAGTAATAATAAGAGTAATATCAATAATAATAATAAGCAGAAATATTAACAAATAAATAAATAAATACATTATAAGAGAAATAAAACAACAATAAAAAAAAATAATAAAGATAATTAATTATAATTATAAATATATTAATAATTAAATAAACAAATATAAATAATACTCAGAAATAAATATAAACAAACAAAAATAAAAATATAATCTACTGTCTCCTTCTCTGTCTCCTTTTTCTTTTTATTTATATTTATATCTTTATTTGTCTCTTTATCTGTCTCTTCATTTGTCTCTTTATTTATATTTATTTATTTATTTATATCTTTATTTATATCTTTATTCGTCTCTTTACTTATATCTTTGTCTGTCTCTCTTTCTGTCTCTTCTTCGCTGTCTCCTGCGGCTGTCTGTCTCTCTGCCTATTCTCTGCTTCCACAGCAGCAGCAGCAGCAGCAAAATAGAGCAAAAGCAGCAGCAGCAAAACAAAACGAGCAGCAGCAGAAGCAGAAGCAAAGGACTGAAAAATGAGTTGAAGCAAAAACATACACATATGCTGCTGCTGCTCCTGCTGCAACGGCTGCTGCTGCTGCTGCAGCGGCTGCTGCTGCGCAAACCGATGCAATTGTTGCTGCAGCAGCAGTAAAAAGAGCAGCAGCGCCTGCTGCAGTTGCTTCTTCGGTGGCTGCTGCTGCAGAAGGGAGAACAGCAGCGCCTGCTGCTGCTGCTGCTGCTGCATGAAAAAAAGGCAGCAAGACCTGCTGCGGTTGTTGCTGCTGCAACAGCAGCAGAAAAAAGAGCAGCAACACCTGCTGCGGTTGCTTCTACTGTGCTGCTGCTGCAGCAAAAAGAGCAGCAGCAGCTGGTGCGGTTGCTGCTGCTGCAGCAAAGAGAGGAGCAGCAGCTGATGCGGTTGCTGCTGCTGCAGCAAAAAGAGCACCAGCGCCTGATGCGGTTGCTGCTGCTGCAGCAGCAGCAAAAAGAGCAGCAGCGCCTGCTGCGTTTCCTGCTGCTGCTGCTGCTGTTGCTGCTGCTGAAGTGCCTTGGAGACAGCTAACAACTCAGGGTTCGTACAGAGCCAAAGCCATGGAGTTGCCTATCAGCAAAAGCAGCAGCAGCAGCAGCAGAAGCAGCAGCAGCAGAAGCAGCAGCAGCAGAAGCAGCAGCAGCAGCAGCAGAAGCAGCAGCAGAAGCAGCAGCAGCAACAGCAGCAGCAGCAACAGCAGCAACATGGTATTCTTAACGAGTAAAGAAAAGAGAGACAGAGAAAAACAACAAAAACGAGACAGCCAGCAACAGCAGCAGCAACCAAGAATAAAGAAGCAGCAAATATAATAAAAAAAATAAATAATATAAAAATAATAAAAGCAAAACAAACAAAACAAAAAAACAACAGAGGGAAAAACACAAAAAAATAAAAGTAAGATCAAAGGAGATAGAAAGAGAGGCAGACGAAGCAAAAGGAGACATAAGGAGACAGCAGCAGCAGCAGCAGCAGCAGCTGCTGCTGCTGCTGCTGCTGTCTGTCTCTCTTTTGCTGCTCTTTCTCTGTCTCCCCTGCAGCCTCTTGCTAACTCTTGCTAGCCCCAGCAGCAGCAACAACAGCAACAACAACAGCAATAACAGCCGCAGCAGCAACAGCAATAACAGCCGCAGCAGCAACAGCAATGTCAGCAGCAGCAACAACAGCAGCAGCAGCAGTAGCAACAGCAGCAGCTATAGCAGCAGCAGCAGCAGCAGCAATAGCAGCAGCAGCAGCAGCTTACTTGCAATAAGGTCTAAGCACTCTGTCTCCTTAACAGTCTTTACATACAATCGGCAGACAGCAGCAGCAGCATCTCTGCTGCTGCAGCAAAAGGGTAACACTATACACTGCCTCAACACGCGGAGAGCTGCAGATACACCCCAAATGTTTTTCTTTACTCTCTCTCCTGCTGCACCTCCTTGCTTTCCAGCAGCAGCAGCAGCAGCAGGGGTTGCTGCTGCTGCTGCTGCTGCTGCTGATTGCTGCAGCAAAGCGTTCCTCTGAGGCCTCCTCAGACGAATCCATTTAAATGTCTCCCCGCGGGAGGAGACAGCAAAAGACAGAGACTGCTGCAACCTAAACAGCAGCAGCAGCAGAGGCAAGAGAAGCAGCAGCAACAGCATGAGCAGCAACAGCACCAGCAGCAACAGTATCAGCAGTAACAGCACTAGCAGCAACAGCAGCAGCAATACCAGCAGCACTAGCAGCTACAGCAGCAATAACAGCAGCATTAACAGCAGCACTAACAGCAGCAGCAGCAACAGCAGCAACAGCAACAGCAGCAACAGCAGCAGCAGCAACAGCAGCAGCAGCAGCAGCAGCAGCAGCGGACTCACAACGCAGGTGGAGCCGGCGAAATGCTGTTGCAGCCCGGAATGCCTGAGGAGACAAAAAGCGAAGAAGAGACAGCCAAAGGAGACAGCTGAAATTTAAAAAATAATTAAAAAGGAGACAGCAGAAGTAAAAGGAGACAAAAAGAGAGGTGAGGAGACACCCCGTGCATTTATATGCAAATCTTTCGTCTCCACTGTATGCATGCCTCTTCATCCCTAAGGCCTTAGGGTTTAGGGTTTAGGGTTTAGGGTTTACCGAATGTACACTGAACGAGACAAGAAGGCCCCGGAGGCATAACAACTCTTCTCAGCGCCAGCAGCTCCCTCACCTCCTTCCACCGCACCTGCTGCTGCTGCTGCTGCTGCTGCTGCTGCTGCTGTGGGGCTAATCTAAAGAGACGTAGCTGCAGCACCTTGACGCGCTCTGGCAGCAA